AACACAAACGGAGGCTGTACACGTGGACTTCACCAGATGGAACACACAGGAATCAGATTGACTACATCTGTGGCAAGAGGCAGTGGAAAAGCTCAATATCCTAGTGCTAGAGATGGCCTTTTCTTAGTGTGGAAGTTTCTGCTGAGGGATCTAAGGTAATGTTCTCATTGGTGCCATTTGGACATTTGAGATATTTGTTTGCTTTCAGCAAAGACTAAATTTGGGTATCTGCATGATGAAAAGGCACTAAGATACTTGCAGAATTGTGTTTATTTGAAGCTTTTTTTATGTCTAAGACACTATATATATTGTGAAAATGAATGAAACCTAGTTTCTGCCCTCAAAAACTTTGCTGTCTGCTCAGGTACAAAAGGACCGTAGTATGAGTGAGGGAAATAGACTAGCAGATGCAGTTTCTTTGATGCCAAGAATAATGAAACTTACAAAGCTTACAAATGGTTACATAAAGCATATGCTATCACATGCATGCTCCCCATTAGAGGCCTGGCTTCCCAGCCCCCCAGAGTTTCCAGTGGGAATTATAGTTGGGGGTAGTACTGTCTTAGAGTGGGGCTTCTACCAGGAAGCAGAAGCTCCCTTTGCTATTATGTTGAGTTAGGTTGGGTTGTTTCTTCTCATCTCTTGCTCCCCTAACCATTTTAGATACTTTGCCTACCCAGTGCAGGTAACTGATTGTCAACAACCCCTCCCCCCCTTTCCTGAGTGATTACTGTAAGACTGAGTGAAGATAATAGTTTACCGGGCTTGTCTTCAGTAGGCCCAGCTAAGCCTGCTGTGTGTCTTTCTACTCCTGCAGTAATTGTACTATTTAGTCAAACATGATAAAACGCCTAAAGTGTTTAGCGCTAACCTGAGAATTAGACCTAATCCTGAAGGCCTACTTTGCCACTTACCAACCACATAACTTTGGGCAACTGAATCACATTTCTGAGGCTCATCTCTAAATTAAACATAAGAATAATGCCAACTACATATGTTTATTGTGAGAATTAAATGTAACAATGCATGCAGTATGCTTAGCACATGTTCTAATTCCTGTTAAAATCTAACTATTTGTAAATATTGTTAAGAAGGAGTTAAAATCCTGCGGCTAAAGCCAACTCCTGAGACACAAGAGGGGAGTCATTAAGGTGGTTACTGCCAGCTGCTCCATGAAAGGAAAATGAAGTCTGTAGTAGAAGGGCTATGGACCTTCAAGAGGAGATAAGCAAGGAGCAGGGGAAATGGGGAAGGAACAGGGTTCCAGCAGCTTTTAGAAAATGAGCTGAAAGGAAGGCAGTAAGACCTTGAGTGCTGATAACATTG